AAAACGATAGTAAGAACTTACCATGGAACATGCTATAGTTGCAGACTCGATTAAGGGAAGTCATTATCAAGTAAAGGAACAAGGCGGGCCGCGTACAGAAGGATGTTCGAAAAAATATCTAGCGGAAAATACCTCGAGGAGCCAAGTCGGGGTAAGAAGATTCAAGGGTTTTGAGAACTTCGGGATCCTCACAAAGGGTGCCCGAAAGTAACGCCTGGTTATACACAGCCCAATCGATACCGAAAGGTGAGGCATGTGAATGGACAAAATCCTCCGGCTCGACGTTTCGATGAGAACACGGCTCGACATTGTTCAGGTGAACAGAGTCCGAACTCGAATAGTTATCGATTTCACGGGCAAGAGAACCGGAGACGGGGTCAGAAACAGGGTCGAGGTTGGAATCTAAGAGGATAAAGAACGACAATCAAGAAAAGTTGTTAGAAATCGTGATTCGATTCAAAGAGAAGGGCCAACAAAATAACCAGGATGACACGAGAAACGTCTCGACGACGGGAAGAAAGGGAGAAGAAATAAGAAGTAGTTCCCATATCGATTCGACTTGACAAATAAAGGTCAAGTCAGGAAAGGAAGAGAGTCGATCTCATAACAAGACGACTAACAAAAGATAACACTTGAAAAGATGAAAAACTTACAATCAGAGATCTAACAGGAAAATCGCCAGAAGACTCACATGCAATTCCCAGAAACTGAAAGATGTTCTTATTTCCAGACAATTTACCCAGAAAAATAAAAAGTGTTCTTATCTCGAAATACGAAAATAAGTCGAACAGGTAAAGAAAACTTACTCATACTCATGATGCTTGACGGAAAGTCCTGAGAAATCGGAGAAGGACGCCGGAAAATATAAGTGTCGGAAAGCTGTATTTGCCAAGAAAAACAGAAAGCTTGAAGGAGGTGAGTGCAAAAAGTGAGGACGAGAAAAGAGGGGGATTATTTATAGAAAGGGCAGAGAAACCCCAGCCCTCAAATTAAAGTCACTCTCAACGGTTTAGATGATGCACAGAATACGAAGCGGTGAAGAGAGAAAGTGTCTTATCTTTTGAATTTTGAAATTTGAAAAGATCCAGACTTATC